ATATATAATTTTTATTATATTTAAATAATAATATTTAAAGTCAATTTTCTTAAAAATAAAAAAATTGGAATATGAAAAAATTTTGTTATTTTTTTTATATTATATCTTTTTCAAAATGTACCATCAATTACAAGATATTCTATATAATATATACTAGTATGTATGAAGTTTTAAATATAATTGATAGTTTGGAAGAAATTGTAAATATTAATTTTAATATTACTATAATAAAATTTTTTTTCAAGAAGTAATATTTAATTATATCATATAATTCATGATAATTATTTATACAATTAATGCAATTAATAATAATTAGATGTTGATTATATACAAAAATGGAATTTAAAATATAAATTTTTTTCTTCCTTATATATCATAATGTGTACTATATTTTCAATTTTTTTTATTTTGTTGTATATCATGTATTTATATTCTGTATTTTTTTATATATATTTAAATTTTTCATAAATAATCATTAATAATGATTATTTAATAATTAGTAAAATTAGTTATTATTTAATAGTAATAATTATTAACTAATAATTATTAATAGTAATTAATAGTATCATTAAATATTGAAATTAAAAAATATTATCTTTTTAACATTTTTTTTAATAAAAAAAAATTTTTTAAATTCTTTTTATATAACTTTCAGTGTATACATTTATTGTATAATATAAAACATATTATATTTTAATTGTTAATTTAATTTAAAAATGGTGTAAATTTTAAAATTTATAAAACAAAATATGTATCAGATTCTAGTAATTTAAATTTTACGCATGGTATAATCTCAAAATCCCTAGTAATACTACAAACATGCTTATATATATACAAATATATATACTTTTTTCAAGAAATGTAATGAAATGATTGTGTACTTTCATTCGAATATAATGTAATGAATTATTTATTATTTAATTCAATTATTTCTTAAAAATTTGTTATTACTATTCATAAATGTAATAAATATAAACAAATATTTATAAATCTTATATGTATATTAAAAAATTGTTTATCTTGTGGAAAGAAACAATATGTCCACTATTCTTCTAAGCATTCAATATTTTCAATTTATTAAATATTATAATATAAATGTAAGATAATGTAATTTCATTTATCGCTTTTTGACAATGTATTTTGTTGCAAAACTTGTTTTCGGATTTTATTTGTGAATCATGACAGAGTCGGAACTTTGCCGGCTCTGTGCCGAAACCAAAGAGAATTTTATTGGAATTTATGAAGCAGAAGGACAAAAATTAGCCATAGAAGCAAAAATTGCTAAATGTTTACAAATTCAGGTAAAAATAATTTCTCTTTTTTTCTTCTTTTCAATAATAAATTTAACGAATTTTTTTATTTATATATTTATATTAATAAAATATGTCTTCTTTTTTTTCTATATTTTATAATTATTAAAATAATTATTTGTATGTATATTTAAATACAATATATATTAATATTTAAAATAAAATATTATTTGCAGGTACTAACAAATGATGGATTACCACTTACAGTTTGTATAGATTGTTGTATTTTATTGAATCAATGTAATGAATTTTTTGAAAAAACTAATCAAGCACAAATATCTTTAAGACAATTACTTCTTGATCCTAAAGTTGAACCACAATCCTTAGAATCAAATATAAACTATATTGATAAAACAATTACATTTCCAAAGGAAGAAGTTAATGAAGGAATTGTTGAATGTCATTTATCAAATTATATTCATGACACATCTAATGTTTCACATAATTATTTTATCGAAGAAAATAAAAGTGATAATCAAAAACATGAAACTGAAGAACCTCAAGATATTATAAAACAAAAAAAATGTAAAATTCAATTAAAAAAGACTTCAGTTAAACAAACTAGAAAAAAATTAAAACGAAAAAATCAGAAAATGGAAGATTCTGATGTATATATGAATACTGATTTAAAAAAAGAAAATAAGAATATAGATATAAAAAGTAATATTAAAATTCCAGATAATTATATGACAGGTAAATATATATATATATAAATATTATTGTATATAAGATTTTATATATATAATATATATATTATATGTAATATGTCTAATGATTTTAATATATAAAAATCATTTAACTTTTTAAAGTATTTTAAAATATAAATCATCTTCAAATTTTCATTTGTTTTTTAAAATTTTGTAAAAATAGAGACGTCAATTTCTAAAAACTCTCTAAATTTAGATAGATTATTATATAATATTTTTTTCAATTTTTTGATCAAAATTTAATATTTTATAACTATATATATACAATACAAAAAATATTTATACATATACATATTTTATTTTATATTTGTTCTATATTTTATATTTTTCAATAATATTCAATTTTTAGTAATTTAGTAATCATAAAAAATTTTAAAAAAATATTACAAAATATTCTTAATTAATTAATATATAAATATTATAATAATTGTAATAATGTTAAAATTTTTTATTGTCATTATATAACATATATATAACATATATATATAAAACATTTGAAACTTTCATAGAACAATTCTAAAATATAAATAATCAAAATTATATATAATGTAATTCTTGAAAAAATATTTAATTGTTATTGTTATTTTTATGTACTAAAATTCATGTAAAATGGATGAAAGCAAAGTTGGAGAAATTTATTTCAGAAACTCTTAAAGAAATGATTAAAAAAATTAAAAATATAGTAATTATTCATTTTTAAACAAGAAAATCTAAAATTTGTAATGATTCACTTAATCATTACTATATAATTTATTAGTACAAAATAATCTCAAAACAAAAAATAAAATATAATATATAAATGTAATACAAGAAGTGACCATATAATTTCCAAATACTAAATAATAGTAATATATAATAAAATTGCAAATTAAAAACTAGAAACTTATATTATATTATAAATTTATATTATAAAATATTTGAAAAAATTTTTATATACATCTTTTTTTATAGTAACATTGGATATAATGATCTTTAAAAAATATTTCTTTTAATTTAATAAATTTAATAAATAAATTTATAGTAAATTTTATATAAATAGTTTTTCATTTTATTTGATCATTTCTCTCTGAAAAATTTTCTTTATTTATATTTATTTATTTATTTTTTTTATTTCTTATCACTACTTATTAATAATTACTTTTAACTATATTCTATATATCATACAAGTTTTTAGTTTTTTTTTTTTTTTTTTTAATATCTTATGATTCTAAATGATATTTAATTTCAATGTACCATAATTCATACAATAAAATTGTATGAATTTTTTTATGTTAAAGAAATTTTATGACATAAAATAAAATGAAAATTGCGTTGAAATTGTTTTCGAGAAAATAAAATATTTATACATAAAATATAGAGTATTATAAATAAATAAATTTGGCTGATTCTCATTTGAATATAAATGAATATTATATATATAAATGAAATTATAAAAATACATAAAATACATTAAAATATAGTAAAATAAGTAAAATATATAAAATAACATTATTGTTTAAGACTTTTTTTTTTTCAAGAATTATATCTTCATTTAGCAATCAATTATAAATATACTTGATTAATTTTTAAATGCATTCAGTTAAAAATGGTACTCTATAATAATATTATTTTATTATCTTTGTTTTTTTATTTTATATTTCGAATTATAGAATTTTTTTAACTTCTTTTATACTATAAATTATAAGATATCTTATATATTTATATAAAGTTTTAATAAAATTACATTAGTTATTTAAAAATTACATTTACTAAAATATAATTTTTCAATATAGGCACAGATACAGATTTAGAAATCATAGAAGCACATGCTGTAGAAATTTTAAAATTTGGACGCAAAAGAGAAGAATCTTTAAATAGATATCCATGGCTTTGCACTGATTGTAATGATAAATTACCCAGTTTAGAAAAATTGAAAGAACATCATGAAACTATTCACAATCAACAAGCAAAATATATGTGTGTATTATGTTGTAAAGTTTATGACAAATATTATGGTTTTCTTACTCATGTCAAACGACATAAAAACAAAACAAAATTCAGGTAAAAAATATTTATTAATATATATATTTATATACATATAAAATATTTAATATATAATAACTTTTAATAAAACTGTTTAATACATATTATAAATGTTACAAAGTTGTGAAGATTGTGGAAAATCATTTGTACATAAGAAAGTATTAGATTCTCACAAGGCAATTCACAGTCAGGAGAGGCCTCATATTTGTCAAACTTGTGGAAAAGCATTTAGGCAACAAAGTGCTTTATATATTCATAGTAGATGTCATTTACCAGATACTATGAAAAATAGATTTCCTTGTGATCAGTGTGATAAAAGGTATAATTCAATAATTGAACTTAATTTATTTATTAAAATAATATATTATTTATTTATAAGTATATATATAATATAATATAAGTATAT